AAAAGGACTTTGAGAGATGTTGAATTGATCGGGCGAGAAGGGAATGACAAGTACGTAATTTTTTTTTTTATCGATCCTTTTTCGGTAACCCAATTCTCGCGATGGTTAATGGAGTTTTGCTCTTGCTCTCGTGAAGCATGGCGAATTTATCGAGAGCAGTGGAGAGGGAGGGAGGCCGCAAGGAGACGCGAAATTGTCGGCCGTGGCGGGGAAAAACGGAGAGGGAGGGAGAAGGAAAATGGAAGAGAAGCGGAGAGTTTGAGGACGACGGTGTGTTTCACGGTGTGGCAAATTCATATCGACCATAACGGGAGCGCGGCGAATGGCGGCGTATGTTCGGTAACGAGGGACTTGCATTAGTCAGGAATTCGAGTCGCGGCACTCGCCCGTTTCCTCTCCTTCCCATTGCGTCTCGTAGCCGAACACGCCGATCCTAACACAAGTTTTCGATAATCCAACACAAGTTTTCAAAGGATTTCGTAAGAAAACGAAGCGCATCCCAAGATGGAATCCCTTCTATCTCCTGGATCGCTTGTGCAACTCGACGATGACCTTAGACGCGGTGGAAAAAAATATAGAACGCGGGTTCGAACGGGGAAAAATATAAACGCATATTGAATTCGCGCTCGTATTCGACGAGTGGACTAACATCATCCCGTATACAAAGCATACAATTACATACGAATATATCATTAGGCATTTTATCATTAAACGAATTTTTATTCCTCTCCGAGTTGAAAGATAACGAGAATCGTAATAGCTGAGTAACAGCATCTACGCATTTCGCAGAGAGAGAAAGAGAGAGAGAGAGAGAGAAAGAGAGGATCCGCCTGTTTCGAGACGCAATAGAGAGGCGCGATCGAAAAAAATCGCGGGGAACTGAAAAGTCGTCCGGAACGATTACGAATTTTTCATCGCGAATAATAAAGTTGGAGATAACGCGGCTCGAGATCTCCGCGTGACCTATCGACACTGGCGTAGCACGAGCACGAATCGAATGGAACGGAACGGAACGGAACGGAGGGAAGAGAAGGAGGAGGGGCGGAGGACGGTGTTCCACGGAGACGAGGAAAAAACGATCGTGATGCTCAGTGGGAGGATGCTCGTTGGCGGAGAAAGGGATTCGAGTTGGGGCGTCGAGGGATGAGGGGTCGAGGCCGGGAGGGGTGGAAGCAGATGCTCATCGGGCCCCTCCTGTAAATGTAGATTATGCTCATCCTTGATTTGTGTGCGCGCGCGCCCCTACGTGAAATGCACTCGGCCTTTCCTAAGAGCTGGATCGCAGGAAACTCATCTAACCGAATCGTTGTAAAATTTTTCCCCAATTTATTTCTTCCGAAAAGTGTCCAAAAATTAAGTCCGCGTATCTTCAGTGAACGCGGTTTTTCGCGTGATTCGTTCGAAAACGAATTGTTTAAACCGAACGCGTACTATTTAGAACGAATATTAGACGAAATTCCAGGTGTTGGAGTCACATTTCGAAGTTACATTTTCGTTGCTACAGTTGCGAAACCATCCATTGGTATATATCTTACATTGAAGATTTTACGCGAGCTATTGCGATACCAAAGTCGTGTGCGAGGCGCGTGTGCGACCAATAAGCAAGGCGAGAGAAAAGGAGAAAGAGTGAAAGAGAGAGCAAAGGAGAAGGAGGTAGGAAGACGGGAATGAAATAGTGGGAGTGAGAAAGAGAGGAAAAGAGAAAGAGAGAGAGAGAGAGAGCAAGAGGCAGGTGCATCACGGTGACACTCCCTCGATAATTCACCTGAGAGAGAAAGAAATAGATACAGAGGGAAAGAGATTGCGCGAGAGAAAGAGAGAGAGAGAGAGAGAGAAGCAAGAAGTAAGAAGGGAAAAAGAGAGAAATTGAAGGGACCGAGAGATGGAAAAAGAAAGAAAGAAAGAGAGCTAAGTCACGAGTGTTGTGTCTGGAGCTCGTTTATGGTTGTTCGCTCAAACTCTCGCTCCGGGGAACGAGAGAGTTTCAGAAATGGCGCTCTTGAGTCAGATCGAATCAGCTGCGTTTCCCTGCGAGAAGGTTGATACTTGTAATACCTGAGAGTCGTACGGATTCATCGCAATACAAATCTGAAACGAGATCATTCGATGAACGATTCCATTTTCGAATCAAAAAATTAGACCAATGTTTACTCATCGAGGAAATCGAACGTTTATATCTTCTTCTTCTTTTTTTTTTTTTTCTTTCTCGCGTTTCGTCGATCGACAAAGAATAATCGATACGAAGTATTCACTCTTGAATAAACGCGTCGTAGACGGTAAACGTTTTATCGTATCCACGGTTTCCCGAAACAAACTCCGCTTCAGGTAAATTTACTCGTGAGTCACTGTCTGATAATTTTAGATCGAATCGACCATTAAAATTTACGCTTCTGTTTCCGCCGCATTACGTGCAATTTTGAACCGTTTTCCCGTCTTGACGTCGCGCGAAAAACTTTGGAACACAACAACTCGTTCCATTAACGGATAAGCGTCGAAACGTCGCTTATCCGTATAAACGTTTCTTCCAAATGGAAGGAAATATCCGTGGAATGTACGCCGAGGTTTTCGCGTATTTTTAGATACCCTTGCACTTGAACGATGCGCCCTGACCCTTCGGATATTGAACAATGAACGAGGACGCGGTACTCGTGCTCCGAATCAAATTGCTCGATTCGAAGAAACGCCAGTCATCCTCTGTGTGTCGACTCGTATACAATGTTTCCGCTCAAAGTGGCAATCGTTGAAATTAACAGGGGCGAAACGAGCGAAGAATTAACTGGATTGTTGGCAATTGGCGGCCGCCTCGACAGAACAATTGACGCTTAACGAACTTGACACCGCGTGCGCTTAAACATCGGAATATAAATGAGTAAGACGACGATCGATCCCAAACAATCGACTCGATATTTTCGAAATTGCTCGGACCGCACTTCAAACATCGTGTCAAACTCGATACGCCGCCCGACCAACGAATCGTATATCTAATCTCCGATTAAACACGAGCTCGCTGCGTGTGTCGACATATCAATCTAACGCGACTCGTCTAATGAGAAAGAAAAAAACGTTTAATTCGGTTGGTCGAGTTTGTTATACTACTTTGATGACACGAAACATTTCCTATCGACTAGGGAGAACATTTCGTCGAGGCAACCATGCACCTCCAGCGTTTTCCAAACAGCATCCGCAAGCTAAGCAAACATCCGAGACACGGTCGACCAACTATCCCGAGGGACAAGCAAACAGTTGACTTTACAATTCCCTTTGACCAACAATTTTCGAATGATTTCGCTCGCATCAAGACTAAATGACACTGTTATCCTTATTAAACTTATCTCTAATAAATCAAAGCTCAACAATGCCAAAATCTTGATGTTAGATAATATCGTTTTTTTCGAAAACAGATAAGAATATTCGATCACGAGCGTACTCGTAAAAAAACGAACACGTGCTGAAATTGACGTTGCAATTGTCGCGATAAAAATGAGAACCCCTTTAACCACAATTCGTGCAACGGTCACGACGCAACAGCTCTGCGAAAGAAACTGTTTCTTTCTCAGGCAGGTGTATGAAAAAAGAAAAATAAAAAAAAAAAACGTACTAGTCGCTATCCACGACAGACTTTCCAAAGCTGTTTGCCGAAGAAAAGATTTCGATTTATAGTTTCTTACATTACATCCGAACGATTAACCTCTAACGATTTCAACGGCGTCGTGAGGACACGTGGTACATGATTGAGGGTTCGCCCAATCATAGATCAACTTTTGAAAATGAAATAAAATGATAAATATCGTTATATGAAATAAATAATAATCATCCATAATGATCCTAAGATCACTCATCACAGATGTATCGCAAACATCTCACGACAATATTCGTATCGACTGAACGTTGTTGCACATGACAGCGGATGAAAGAGCGACTAAGATAGAGTCTCTGATGTCTAGGTTATGTCGACGATATTCCACGATTCCTAATCATTTGAATAGCATTTTTTTTTTTTTTGTATACGAGTATAAATGAACGAAAGAACGATAATAACGATGCAAATGAAGAAACACAATGAAGAACAGATCTCTCTCAGAGGGTTAGTTCACTACGACGGGGCAGCACTGTCCAAAGCACTGACAAGCAAACCAAAACACAGAACGGAGCGAGTCAGCCGAGAGAATCGTCCGGCACGGATCCTTGACGTAATCGGGGCTTCAATCGACCAAAACACAACACTCAAATTTACCTAATCCTTCGAGGAGTAACTCGTTGACACAAGAAAACCACTAAAGCGACGCTTATTGGATTTAATACATAGTGCTTTCGCAGAAGACACTAGACACAAGAGACTCCGCCGCTCTATTTTCACACGGCACATGCACAGCACAAGATTTTCACGATTTTGACTCGAAAGAGTATTTGTTTCGTAACTGACGACACTCACCGGGATGCTTATTGGCGATCTTATTGAAGCAGTTTTGAAAGACCTCGTAGAGATGCATCGGCTCGTCGTCGCTGGCCGCCATGTTTTCACGAGACGAGAAAACGAGTGGATGTCCGTGGTTGAGGCGAGTGGGCACGGTTTCGCGGTGTGGCCGCGCGTGGAGCCACCCTCCTCCAGAAACGGTCACGCACACTACTGAACCACACCGCCTCACCGATGCGGCTCTTATAGTCCATCAGTGGCGCCACTCTTCCTTACGTTGTCGCTACGCGGCTACTTTGAATATCATATTTTCCTCATTCGATACCTTCGCAAAAATGTGTTTATCGTTAGATCAAATGGATGAGTAAAATAATATTATTATTTTATGAATAATTAATAATTCAATAATTAGTTCTTTTCATCAGTTATAAGAACAAGTGATTTACTTGTTAATAAAAAATAAACATTTTCAATTATAAATTTAAAGATTATAATCCATAAAAACCTAAGGAATTCGGGCATTTTTTTGTTACAGTGAAGATTTTTATTCATATGTTGCGAGTACATAATAGATTTGATGTATGAAACGTATAACTAAATTTATTATTATATTGTTATTGTTATTATTCTATATTTCTTTATATTTTCACGTTTCGATATAATTATATTGTTATTTGCATGTTTATATACATAAATTTATTTCTATTTTGCATTGTTAATCGATATTGAAAATCCTGATATATACAATAAATAAAATAGATTTTAATGTCATGATTATAGATGCGCGTACTTTTTACGAGCTACGAGAGATACGATAATGAAATCGCGTAATTTTCGACGTATCGAATTTTAGAAACGTCATGTTGTATTTTTAAACTCCAGCAAAATCGGAATTTTGTGGAATCGGATGAGATATGTCCTCGTAATCCTGTCGACCAAAGCCTAGAATAGAAAAACGTTCATGAACGTCTGTTCCCACCCCCACTAAAAATTATAAATCATATATACAAAAGACAAGATAAAACAACATAAAACATTTCAAGATGGTTGTACATAAAATTCGTGCATTACAAACGATCTTTCCTCCTCATAACAAGCATTATGATGAAAAATAAATATTCCTATATCAATAATTTAAAACAATTACTATGCAATCTAATATGCATACAAATGAAAAATGATTTCATGCACCTACTTAAAGCATAATTTTGAAGAAGCAATGCAGGCCTATAAAACATCTGTATCCAATGTATTACTGACCCATTGCAGGATTTGTAGTGAACATTGTGGCTAAACATCCACCTCTTGCTTGGCCTATTCGTAGAAGATATATGCTTGTGATGATGCGAGCAATCATGTTTAAGATCATAATCGCTGCACTAAACTTCTCAGATGCATCTACAAGTTTGTGCGATCAGATAGATACATCTTCTGCATAGGAAGGTTAATCGACAATATAATTTGGAAAATTTTAGGTTAGTTTTCAATTCAATAGTAGATAGCACTAACTTACACGTTGTTGGAAAATAGACTGCTAATGTTACTACATCAAAAAATATGGAAAGTACATTTATAAAAAGTGCCTAAAATATATAATTCTATTACAAACATAACAATTAAATTAAAATTATATATAGAACATATTTCAATAACCAAATGCTTACAAATTGTAGAGGTTCATCTGATTCAATATTGTGAATAGCCCACAATAAGCAGACGAAGAAAAGGAAATTGTAAAACATTACAGATTTTGGACACCAATGTCCCTGAATGCCCCTAAAAATTTATTGTTTAACTATATAGTACAAATATGACACTCTATACAAAAGTGATTCACAATATGTCTATACTTCTAAAATTATGCAGACTAATATACAATAAACAAAAAATTTATTCTTACCATGTTACTAGGACTAAATGAATTGCAAATATCACCTGAAAAAATCCGACAAGATCATAAAAAATGATCTTAAAATGCAAAGTAAGTGGATATTTAAGCAATGATGTTTTGAAAATATATTTGCAATATTGCAAAAATTGTCTTGATACGAGAAATTTGTCAAATAAATTATTCTTTCATTGCCGTGCCTTGTATAATTATATTTTTTATATTTGTATAATTATATTTTATTCATTGGGAAACATGCATAGTCGAATGAACTACGCAAAAGTCTTCTTGAAATATAATTATTATTTTAAAGAATTATCTGATATCTGTTCTCATAATTGGACATTGAGATATTTGATGGAAATATTCACCATGGAATCGCGAGAGCCAAAAGCGATAAGCAAAAGGAAGATATAACAAATATATGACGTGCAACGAATTATATTTTAAATAAAAAAAAGCAAATAATTCTAGAATAGAATATTCTAAGAAAATGAGCAAAGTAACGAAGGTCGAATGAAATTTACCTTTAAGGGATAATGGGATATACTAGACATATCCGGCATTTTTTAACCTTCGAAATTTTTTTCAAACTTGACCTGAAACTATTTCGACTTCTTTGCTTTTACGATAATTATTGTTAATTATTTGTTAATCACGCCTAATGGTTCACAAATATATCAAAATATATTTTTTAAACTTTTTATTTCGTTCAAACGTTTCATCAATACAACACAAAACGAATACTGCGTATAATACTTCTATAATGACGTCTACGAAAAGTACATGATTCAGCGCCATCTATGAAGCAAGAGACGAACAAATTATTCGAATTTATTAAGAATTTAACCTTTTTATTTTATATTTCGATATATTTATAATCGAATTGAAAAAAAATAAAAAATTTAATTTTAACGATTAACAAAAATTTTATTTTTCTTTATATTTTATTTTTATTAAAAACAAATAGAAAAATTTAATAATTTTATTTAAATTCTAAAACATATGTTGATTGACCTTTTGTGATCTGAAAAAAATTATCTGCTTACAGTTCTTCGATAAATGCTATATACTGCTAGATTACTGTCGTCATATACTAAACACTAGTTGTTAATCTGTGAATAACTTCATTGAGATGATAGTGTTCATAAAATAAGGAAATAATATATGTTATAATATCGTATAACGTGTTCAAAGTATAGTAAATATAGTACTTACGTGTATATTGTGATTCATAAAATTCGAACGAAAGAAGAATCGTTAGAAAAATATGTTAAGTAAGGGAAATCTTTTTATAAAAAATTTAGGTTGTACCATAAGAACGTTTCACAATAAAGCAATTGTTATTGGTAATGTACAAAATACTAAATCTTCGA